GCCATCGGTGCCGGCTGTGGTCCAGCAGATCGTTGTGCCGGAGGAGGAGGTGGGGGAGGACGCCACTGACGACCGTGTGAACCCGGTACCATTGGCGCTGCGTCGCTAAGCTCTATGGCGGAGCTACATAGAGGCTACACGTCCGTTAAGGCAGCAAAAGTAGCAGAATCAAAAGACGAAGAACGTTGCCAATCATGCCGGATGCTTGATCACGTCGACCTAAACCAAATCTGACACATAAGGCACGCCGGCCTTCTTGCCAAACATCGGGCGGAATCCACATTAGTGGACCCAGCATGTTACTAATCCACGAAAATGCGTAACCCTTTTCATTCTCGCTCGCCAGGCGAGATAAGTTTTATGATTATCCTATGCGTTCGCGCCGAAGTGGGGACTAACATAGGCAGCATTCACGCGTAGGAGCGAGGCTCCACCGACACCCGCAGCCCTAGGCACTGGGCGGGCTGGCTGTATAACACACTTTATGTTTTAGTGCTCCACTGGTTCTGGTAGTGGATGCTGTTCCGGAAAAGGATATGCTCGAACAAGAGGTAGTGGACGAACTCGTGAGTGATGAGGTAGAAAGGTCGCGAATGAAGTGTTATGTGATATATCACCCTATACATGTGGAAAGAGTGCAAGAACATGCGAAAAGAGTGCATGAACGTGCTCTGACTCAATGCTCAGACGCGTGACTGACTCAGACATGCTCACATGCCACAATGCTCACATGTCAGCTCCACACGTGTTCATGTTCATGTCATGCATTCGTGCTTCACCACATGCTCCGAACCTTCTTGTTGTCATCGTTCATGTCCATGAATGCTCCATCATTGTGCTCAAACAACATGCTCAGAACACATGCTCAGACCACATGTTCGGCTACAAAGTGCACTCAAGCTTGATGGGCCCAAGGTCTCTTGTCACGATCACGGCTCAAAGAATGCACCCCATGCTCGAATACCAGGTGTTCAAAACGAAAATCACGTTCTTGTAGAAGTAGTTGAAGCAACAGCGATGATGCACCATACACAGCTTGTGTTACAGGACTTCTATAACCATCACTGCAGGTACGTCAACTCCGCGTCCGGAGTTGATTTCACCACAGTTGGTCAGTGTCTTCGTTGGCAGGAGACTGACCAAGGTGCTCCTGCCCCCTGCTGAAAATGACATGTAAAATCTCCCTTGTTGAACTGCAAATCCATGCCTATTTTCGATCCTGTCTGCAGTGCTTGTTGACGATCCCGCATGTACAGCGGTGTGCCACACACACACAACAACCAAACCTGCCTCAGTCTTCCGCGACCTAGGTTTTAAAGCGGTTGCGAACCACCCAGTTTCGCAAAAAAGCCGACATCATCAGTGTTGGTGTGAGCGCCCCGAGTTTACTCGACACAGGGTTCTGACGTGTAACTCTGCAGCGACCCAGTTTTACCCGACATGTTTTTTACAACCCCTGAAAACAGCGACCCTATTTTACCCGATGAGCGGGCCTTTAAAGCCCGAAACCCCAACCACCCCCGAAAGCAACCGTGAGTAAACCATGAGTGACCGTGAGTGTGCTTCGGCCGTGGCAGCCACGAAGAGGAGTTGGCTCCTGAGCCACCCAGATTTACCCCATCCGTTTGCAAACCATGAGAAATCGTAAGAAGGGAAAACAAGCTGAGGTAAATTGAGGTGATTCGGGCTCTGGGCCTCAAGCCGAGGTAGGGTTTAAATCTAGCGGTTCGGGCCAGAAAGGGTTGTTTTTTTTTTCGGGTGGTTCGGGCTCTGGGGTTGAAGCCGACTTTCAGATAAACCTGGGTGGTTTGGGCCATCAGGACTTGAAGTTGCCGAAGGTTTTCCAGGTGCTTCAGGTCTCACGGGTATCTTATTCAAAGATGGTTGGGGTAGGGGCAGAATCAGGTGGTTCAAGCCAGGTCGAACGAACCACGGGGGAAAATATGGTCTTTATGGCCGCGCCCTGCTTTGCTTGACTCATACGATGCGTCTGTGAGGATCCAAAAGTTCAGACGCGACAAGTTCGAAACCTCGTTCCACAACATGTGGACAGCAAAGAAAGCCCAGCCCACGACGATAGTATTGTGACGCTTTCCATGAGCTATGGGACATACTTTGACGACCCCATCCCACCTGGAATTATGCTGCTGGTCCAAGGTGTGTTCTGCATCCGGTGTATTCGGCCCACAGAACACCGCACCTCCGGGCACTGGTCCTTGCCCGCATCCGCCCTCATCATTTTGCAGCCCACATCCTGCTGTCCGGTTCATGTTCAATAAACTCTTGTTTCAAACGCTTCCGCAAATGGGATGAAGTGCATGTGACCACTTCTAAGTGTGGGGCTGGTCGGAATGTGGCGGGCAAACCCGGTGTAGCGTTGCTTGAAACATAGAAGGCGTAGGAAGCTTGGACAATTTCACGGTTCACGTTCTTGAGCCTTCTGCACAAGGATTGGCAAAGACTCAGTACTTGTGTTTGTGCACGGGGAAGATCAAGATGAGTTTCAAGCGGTCATGTTGTTCCAATTGCGCTAGAAGGACGAGAATTGTGTACACGCACATGCGCATGATCATACACGCACGAAATCGGATACAGTTTTGCCAGGTGCGTTAAAGCCCATGTATTGAAGCTTGTGGCTCAAGGGCTGTTGCCAGTTCGTATGGGCTCGACACGGCTCAGGCTCAAGCACAAGTAGGATTTCCAACGCATTAGAGAAACACCCCGTGCGAATGCCGAAGGAACCAAGCACGGGTTTGCAGAGATGTCGAATCTACAGCATGTTTTGATTGAGGTTGCAATTTCAATCGTCGAGATGTGCACACCTTCTCGTGTACTGACAGACACCGTGAGCATTGTGATGCAAGATGCCTTGTTGCTTGGACACGTGCATGGGGCCGTAACAAACTCATGTACTTCATTGTCGTGTTTGCCCAAAAGGTCAGTATATACAGCAGAGCACCGACTCAGGCTTTTATGTAAAAGTGGTACAGCACCAGCGGACTTCTCCAGAAGGAGGCCATGAACATGAACCTTGGCTGCCGAACTCCGGTTGCAGCTCAGAAAAGCCTTCGAGGACAGTGCCAAGGTGCAACCGCGATGTAGGGTTCAAGGACAATCAAGCATGTCGTAGTAAACGTATGTTGCATTTTCGGCAAATTTTAGCGCGTGTTTTCAAGCATGGTCGTGCTGCAACAGCTGCAGTAGAGTGATTGGTTCATGACCTTGCAACAGAATCCTGCCAGCAGGGAATGTAGCAATAGCACGAACCAACAAACAAAGAGGATCAACAACAATGTCAGGTATGCCTTTCACCTGCGAGCACACGGGTTCTCCGGTCCGAGGCTTCTTGGGCCTTAGCCCCCCCTTCATTGTGACAGCGCCACTTCAACCGTCCACATGGTTACGCGTGAAAGATACAGAGACTTGTAAACGGTCGCAGGTGGCTGACGCGCGAATGGAGCACCTCTTTCCTGGCTTCGAGCCTTGCATGGCAATTGGCGTCTGGAGAGAGGGTTTGAAAGACTTCATGTCTGTGATGGCCTGTTGCTTGCAGAACCCTGGTATGTCTTGAAGCGAAGGATGTAGCTTGAGCGTTACAGATAAGCAATCGGTGCCGAGGCGTGATGATGCCCGTGACAGGATGACAGGAAGTCGTGCCAGGCAGGGTTGGTGATGCAGCAGCGCCCTAATCCGATCCGCTATGTAGGAGCTGTCATTCAATACTGTGCTGCTTGCCATGCAGTTCGGCAGCGTGTTGGATGTGTTCATTTTTGCTGTTGCGTGTGGCAGGAGCCTGCACTGATATGATGCTGCACCCCGTCTCGATGGGATTTACACAAAGCATCCTCACATCCAGGTTGGGCCGAGTGTGCTTTCAGGATGCGGAGTCTCTGTAGAAGCAACGCAGCAAGACCTCAACGGAACTTCTCAACAAGAACCGTATCTCTGTGCATGGTCTTGCTTGCCTACAGAAACTTCATCTCTTGGTTCTGCAAAGGGGTGAAACCCGAATTCCAAACATCAGCGACCAGGGCAATGTGTCCAAGACCCCAGGGGGCAGACGGCAGAAGCCTCTCCTTCGTTGCCTTGCGCAGCCCGGGTGTAGCTTAGGCCTCTGCCTAGTAGCACCTTTGTCTGTTCGGCCACCTGGTGCAGATCACGATGTTGCATATCGGCTCTTTGCCACGGCAAATCAGCGAAAGCTCCGACACAGTCATGAAACTGCTTAGCCAGTTCCGGATATGTTGGCGCCGCCTTCAGCCCCACAGCTGCTGTGCGCAGGCCTGCCCCTCTGACAAACCCTGGCAACGGTGCATGTGTGTGCAGCGTTTCTTTCCGACGGTGATGTGAAATGGGGTTTAACTCCCGTTCTCACCCTTCCTCACTTCCAGGTCAGGCCGAGTGTGCTTCAGGAGGGGGAGACCTGAACGGAACTTCGCAACAAAAACCATATCTTCGTGCATGGTCTCAATTGCATTCAGAAACTTCATCTCTCGCTTTTGCAGAGGGGTGAAACTCGAGAGCCTCTCCTTCCTTGCCTTGCGCAGCCCGGGTGTAGCTTAGGCTTCGTGGCACCTGTGTCTGTTCAGAACCCTGGTGCAGATCACGGTGCGACATCTCGGCTCTTTTCCACCACAAATCAACGAAAGCTCCGACACAGTCATGAAACTGCTTAGCCAGTTCCGGATATGTTGGCGCTGCCTTCAGCCCCACAGCTGCTTTCTGAGATGCAGGGGTTCATCGATTCCCTTGCAAAATCTGTAGCCCTTGCAAGCAACATGTTCCAGCCGGTTGGCTTCGCTTTGCCACGGCGCCTTTGACATCTTGCCTCCTTGACAAGTTTGGCCAACCTCTTGGCCCGGAAAAGCTGGGCTCCATGCATTCCTCTTTGCTGATTTGCAAACCCTCATATCGGTCTCCTTGCTTGCTTCGGTGCTGTGCTTCTTCTTAGCGCCTCTCTCTTGCTGCCAGAGCCTCCCGGACGTGCAGCTTGCAGATGATCAGGGGGGTGTGTCCGCATCCCCACACATTCCAAGTACGTGTGCTCTCTTGCTTCTCACGCCCTCTCTGACAGCTGGCCTACGCTTGGGTCCGTCAAGCTCCTCTTGTTCCGGCCCGTGGGCAAGCATGGCAAGCATGGTGCTGGAGTTCTGGCGGGACACCGGGGACCAAGTTGTAGCCCCGCCGGTTGGCTTCGCTTTGCAAACGCGCCTTTGACGTCTTGCTTGCCTGACAAGTTTGGCCAACCTCTTGGCCCGGAAAGGCTGTGTGGAAGCAACGCAGCAAGACCTGAAGAGAATCTCGGGACGGGAACCATCTCTCTGTGCGTGGTCTTGCTTGCGTCTAGAGTATCCATGCGCCCGTTCCCTTGGAGAGTCTGTAGCCAACCACATGTTCCAGCCGGTTGGCTTCGCTTTGCCACGGCGCCTTTGACATCTCGCCTCCTTGACAAGTTTGGCCAACCTCTTGGCCCGGAAAAGCTGGGCTCCATGCATTCCTCTTTGCTGATTTGCAAACCCTCATATCGGTCTCCTTGCTTGCTTCGGTGCTGTGCTTCTTCTTAGCGCCTCTCTCTTGCTGCCAGAGCCTCCCGGACGTGCAGCTTGCAGATGATCAGGGGGGTGTGTCCGCATCCCCACACATTCCAAGTACGTGTGCTCTCTTGCTTCTCACGCCCTCTCTGACAGCTGGCCTACGCTTGGGTCCGTCAAGCTCCTCTTGTTCCGGCCCGTGGGCAAGCATGGCAAGCATGGTGCTGGAGTTCTGGCGGGACACCGGGGACCAAGTTGTAGCCCCGCCGGTTGGCTTCGCTTTGCAAACGCGCCTTTGACGTCTTGCTTGCCTGACAAGTTTGGCCAACCTCTTGGCCCGGAAAGGCTGTGTGGAAGCAACGCAGCAAGACCTGAAGAGAATCTCGGGACGGGAACCATCTCTCTGTGCGTGGTCTTGCTTGCGTCTAGAGTATCCATGCGCCCGTTCCCTTGGAGAGTCTGTAGCCAACCACATGTTCCAGCCGGTTGGCTTCGCTTTGCCACGGCGCCTTTGACATCTCGCCTCCTTGACAAGTTTGGCCAACCTCTTGGCCCGGAAAAGCTGGGCTCCATGCATTCCTCTTTGCTGATTTGCAAACCCTCATATCGGTCTCCTTGCTTGCTTCGGTGCTGTGCTTCTTCTTAGCGCCTCTCTCTTGCTGCCAGAGCCTCCCCGACGTGCAGCTTGCAGATGATCAGGGGGCCGTGTCCACATCCCCACACATTCCATATGAGCAAGCGCCGAAACCGTAGCCATTCAAGTAAGCAAGGGGTGGACCCAAATCCCTAAATCCCTGCAAGGCGAAGGGAACATCTGAGAAGCGACAACTCTAAGTTAATGAAACGTTGTGGGCTATAACCTTGAGATTTCCCAAAGCGACACGTGCAGACGTCAAGCGTGGATAACTGATGTTAAAGCTCTGCAAAGCCATGGGAGCACTTGAGAAGCGACACCCCTCATGTTGCGTCCATTAGCACCGCCAGCCGTCATAGTCAGCGGCTCATATATGTATGCTCGCTTGCTTCTCACGCCTTCTCTGACAGCTGGCCTACGCTTGGGTCCGTCAAGCTCCTCTTGTTCCGGCCCGTGGGCAAGCATGGCAAGCATGGTGCTGGAGTTCTGGCGGGACGCCGGGGACCAAGTTGTAGCCCCGCCGGTTGGCTTCGCTTTGCAGCCGCGACTTTGACGTCTTGCTTGCTTGACAAGTTTGGCCAACCTCTTGGCCCGGAAAGGCTGTGTAGAAGCAACGCAGCAAGACCTGAAGAGAATCTCGGGACGGGAACCATCTCTCTGTGCGTGGTCTTGCTTGCGTCTAGAGTATCCATGCGCCCGTTCCCTTGGAGAGTCTGTAGCCAACCACACGTTCCAGCCGGTTGGCTTCGCTTTGCCACGGCGCCTTTGACATCTCGCCTCCTTGACAAGTTTGGCCAACCTCTTGGCCCGGAAAAGCTGGGCGGCTCCATGCATTCCTCTTTGCTGATTTGCAAACCCTCATATAGGTCTCCTTGCTTGCTTCGGTGCTGTGCTTCTTCTTAGCGCATCTCTCTTGCTGCCAAGGCCTCCCGGACGTGCGGCTTGCAGATGATCAGGGATGCGTGTCCGCATCCCCACACATTCCACCCTCTCTGACAGCTGGCCTACGCTTGGGTCCGTCAAGCTCCTTTTGTTCCGGCCCGTGGGCAAGCATGGTGCTGGAGTTCTCACGGGACGCCAGGGACCAAGTTGCAGCCCCGCCGGTTGGCTTCGCTTTGCAACTGCGCCTTTGACGTCTTGCTTGCCTGACAAGTTTCGCCAACCTCTTGGCCCGGAAAGGCCGGTGAACTTGGGGGTTCGCCTTGTTCGCCCTACGGCCAACCATGCTCTCTGCCCTGATGTCTGGGTGGACGCATCCATCACCGGGTGTCGGACGTACGTGCGAGCACAGTGCAGCGTGTTGACTTCTAGCTGCCGAAGTTCAGGTTCCGAGAGATGTTATGCAAAGGTGTGCTCTGGGCACGAATGTCTGGCTGGACAGGGACTGTTGCGATGCGGGACACGCGTATGTGCTCTCTTGCTTCTCGGACAGCTGGAGCATTAAATTTCAGGGAAAGTCCTTGCAGCCAGGGGAGTTTCTTTAGCAAACTTTAGGCAAAAGCAGAAGAGTTCAAAGCTCGTTTAGTCAGCACCTCTTCTATAGCAACGTTACTCGTGTTCGCAGGGCTGCCCCTTTTGAGAAACCCTGGCAGAGTTGCATGCGGATGCAACGTCTCTTTCCGACGTGATTTGAAACGGGGTCCAACTCCTCGTTCTCACCTTTGCAGGACTCTCAAGATCCCCCTTTCTTGAAAAATGGACAGGCCAGGGGCATAGGTACCTGTGTCCAAAACTTTTGTCCACTTTCAGGGCTTGGTTTGATGCGAATACGCGCATGAACTTAGGACCTGTGAATCTGGACAGTCCATTTTTCAGGTCCTCACTCTCTAAATCGTTGGCGATCTCTCCAGGCGTTCCAGCCTCCATCGTGGCGGGCTGCTTCACGATTCCGGAAGCATCCACCAGCACAGCTCGACAGCACAAGAGCTCGTCCGCAGCAGTTCATTCCTGCAATACTTGTCATTCAACTTTTGAGTGCATGTCCCGTGTTTCTTCGTATCAACAGGATGTTGGACAAGCATAGGACAAACACATGTGCCCTGGGGCGCAGTTTCCAGTTTTTGAAGTCCGTGTCGGACGCATTGAGGATCTCACTTTCAGGGGGAGCGGAGAGTTTTTGATGTTGGGTTTGACATGGGCACGTCTGGGGACGCTCAGAATTGAAGATTTCCGTCGTCCCCCTTCTGTTAAGCATGGGGATGCTATGAGGCATGCCGGGGGACGTCCTCAAGTGCAACATTGCAGTTTGAAATCTTGCAAGGTAATCGCAAGGATTTTTTGCAGGTTCGACTCCCGGTCGTCACAAGTCAGGGATAGCAGCATGTGCTTTGCGCAAGCACTGAGGCACCTCCATGCGGGTAACTGAGCTCAAAGTGCATGTTGTTCTGTGAGTCAAGCCTGCCTCCCTTATCTGCCACCCTTGTCCTCCGCGAGTCAAGCCTCTCCTTCCTTGCCTAGGCAACCCTGGTGTAGCCTAGGCTTCAGCAAGGCCCAGAGGCAGAGGCCTCACATATTTTGTGATTAAGGGAAGTAAGGGACTTGCCAAGCGCATTCTGTACTCGCGAATTCCATGCAGTGGCCTAGAGGCACTTTTGTCTGTTCGGCCACCTGGTGCATATCACAATTTCGCATCTCTGCTCCTATCCACCGGAAATCAGCCAAAGCTCCGACTCAGTCCCGAAACTGCTAAGCCATCTCCGGAGCTGCCTTCAGCGCACAGCTGCTTTACGAGATCCGGGGGAGGCTTGCATGAACCTGCAGTCGCTACCTTACTCTTGTTCGCAGGGCTGCCCCTTCTGACAAACCCTGGCCCAGTTGATTTGAAACGGGGTTCAACTCCTCGTTCTCACCCTTTGCGGGACTCTCAAGGCGTTCCAGCCTCCATCGTGGCAGGCTGCTTCACGATTCCGGAAGCATCCACCAGCAGGGCTCGACAGCACAAGAGCTCGTCCGCAGCAGTTCATTCCTGCAATACTTGTCATTCAACTTTTGAGTGCATGTCCCGTGTTTCTTCGTATCAACAGGATGTTGGACAAGCATAGGACAAACACATGTGCCCTGGGGCGCAGTTTCCAGTTTTTGAAGTCCGTGTCGGACGCATTGAGGATCTCACTTTCAGGGGGAGCGGAGAGTTTTTGATGTTGGGTTTGACATGGGCACGTCTGGGGACGCTCAGAATTGAAGATTTCCGTCGTCCCCCTTCTGTTAAGCATGGGGATGCTATGAGGCATGCCGGGGGACGTCCTCAAGTGCAACATTGCAGTTTGAAATCTTGCAAGGTAATCGCAAGGATTTTTTGCAGGTTCGACTCCCGGTCGTCACAAGTCAGGGATAGCAGCATGTGCTTTGCGCAAGCACTGAGGCACCTCCATGCGGGTAACTGAGCTCTAAGTGCATGTTGTTCTGTGAGTCAAGCCTGCCTCCCTTATCTGCCACCCTTGTCCTCCGCGAGTCAAGCCTCTCCTTCCTTGCCTAGGCAACCCTGGTGTAGCCTAGGCTTCAGCAAGGCCCAGAGGCAGAGGCCTCACATATTTTGTGATTAAGGGAAGTAAGGGACTTGCCAAGCGCATTCTGTACTCGCGAATTCCATGCAGCGGCCTAGAAGCACTTTTGTCTGTTCGGCCACCTGGTGCATATCACAATTTCGCATCTCTGCTCCTATCCACCGGAAATCAGCCAAAGCTCCGACTCAGTCCCGAAACTGCTAAGCCATCTCCGGAGCTGCCTTCAGCGCACAGCTGCTTTACGAGATCCGGGGGAGGCTTGCATGAACCTGCAGTCGCTACCTTACTCTTGTTCGCAGGGCTGCCCCTTCTGACAAACCCTGGCAGAGTTGCATGCGTTTGTAACGTCTCTTTCCGACGTGATTTGAAACGGGGTTCAACTCCTCGTTCACACCCTTTGCAGGACTCTCATCTTATAAGACCCTCTATAGACTCTAGAGACCCTCACTTCCAAGGCGTTCCAGCCTCCATCGTGGCAGGCTGCTTCACGATTCCGGAAGCATGCACCAGGAGGGCTCGACCACTTGGGAGCTCTTGCATGTGAGCTGTGCCATGCACCCCAAGAAGCGGGCTGCGTGCGGCGTGGCGGTGCAGCCACACTCGACCTTCGGAAGATCCCGTGGCAGAGTGGAGGCCCGGTGGCAGACCCGCAGGCGGTGAGTGTTTGAAGAGGACGATTTTGTCTTGGCTGGCGAGGTCTGGGGACTTCGCGACAGAACTTGATCGGCCTCGCTAGGCTCGACAGGCTGCTCGAGACGATGATTGCTAGGAATTTTGGTCCGAGTGATTCGGCGGCAGCGCTGATTGCTCGACAACTGTCTGGGCCTGCCGAGCAGAGCATCCCGGGAGTCCCTTTGTGCTTTCTCTGCTAGAGAGCAAAGGGCCAACGCCATTCTGCTTCGGTGCTCTCCTTGTTTGCTTGGGTGCTCTGCTTCTTCGCCTTTCTCTTGCTGCACCCTGCCCGAAGTGCAGCTCACAGATCAGGAAGCTTGTACGCATCCCCACACCTTCCATTCATGTGTGCTCTCTTGCTTGTCGCGCCCCACTCTGCCAGACAGCCCAGATGTTGATCCCAGTGCCAGCCCTTGCAGCCAGTGGAGTATCTTGAGCAAGCTTATATAATCCCTCAATTGAACGTTGAGTGCCTGTCATGATAGTATAGTAGTTCTGTCCCAGCTGGGCAACTCAGTCCTTTCAGTAGACTCAGTAGCGCAACAGCTCTCATGCCTGCTGCTGCTAACGGAGCGAAGATCGGTAATAGTCACTGGCTCGCAATCTGCCTCAGAGAGGCTGAATCCCCAATGAAACAGTTCAAATCAAAGTCGAGACATGTACTCGAGCAACCCGACAAATCCAGGTGACGAGCAGATCCTTTGCTCTGCAAGCGCTTGCCAGGTTCCAGGCTCACGTGGCCGGCATGCTTGCAGAGTTTATCCAAAA